GACGACTCTTTATATCTGACATTTGGTCTCCGTGGTTACGCCTCCAGGCAGGAAAGCGGTGGAAAATTAACCCATTTTCTATGTTTTTCCCATGGCAATCATGTGTTGCGCTGTTACAGCCCACAATACAGCAACAGTTTACCATGGCTGAAATCAAGTTAAGGTGAAATTACGTCATGACGACCAAGCCCTATTGAACAACCAGATATCATAGGGGTCCTAGTTCCTGAGCTGAGAACAGGTCATAACCATGCTTTTGCAACAAGGCAAGGCAGAGCCAATTTATACTGTCCATTCACCAACACTCATTTATATTGCAAATCTCACTATGTGAAAGAAAGAAAAACTTAGAGAATAATTGTATTTTGTGATGTCTCGCCTTGTCATGTTATTTATTTATTTTATTTTCACAACAAAAACATAAAAATAGAATAATGTTTCACTAAAAATGTGATGGACAAGTGCCGAAAAACCCTCAAGGGTCTTAATGAGTGGCAGTCCCCATAAAAACAAATATATTTCACCATTTCAGACATCTATATGATATTGTGTAAAAAAAAAAAAACAAAAACAAAAAAAACAGCATTTCTTTGTATAAAACAATTTAACATATCATTTAGACCACAAATCCATATGGAAAGTTCAGACAACTTAGTAGCAGCAATTTTACTCTCTGTTTAATTTGTTCTGTCAGTGATGTGGGAAGACTGCTCCATATCCTTGATCCTCTGTATAATACACTAAACTTTGTTTGAGTTGTACGAGAATAAGGAGGCCTGATAAGACAACTACTATGAGTTGGATACTGGTGAAATTCATTATTAAAAGTAAAAATATTACAAAAGTGCTGGGGAAGTAACTTTTTTATAGAGCTATAAACGAATAAAGCTATTTGAAGTTGATTCACTTGATAAACACTAAGAATACTTGCCTGAGCAAACAGTGGTTGGGAGGGGTGTCTACGATTTACACAAAGTCTTATTAGTCTAGCCCAAGCAACATTACAGTAATTATAATATGGATATAACATTGAATAATATAACATAATTGCAACTTTTTTGTTAATCAGGTGTCAGATTTTTCCTAGTATACCGACCACTTTGGCTATTTTTGTACTTAAGGCACTAATGTGAGGTTTCCAGGATAAAGAATCATCTAGAATAACACTGAGGAAACGAGCAGATCTAACATTATTAATAGAAGTATTATCAATTTGAATTTTCATTGGAGATTTAAATGTATCAAATTTATAACCAAAAAATATATAACTTGTTTTTTTATGTTAAGTGACAATTTGTTGGACTCGAACCAAGAGGATAACTTGTCCAGTTCTTCATTAACTACCTTTATTAAAATTTCAGGGTTTTTATGGGAGTAAAACACACTTGTATCGTCTGCAAATAAGATTTTAGAAAGTTTATCTGAAACATTAGGGAGGTCATTAACATATATTAAAAATAACAGGGGACACAAGATGGAACCTTGTGGTAAACCGCACTGAAGAGGAAGGAGAGGAGATTCTGTCCCATTATAGTTGACAGTTTGATACCGGTCTGAAAGGTAACTAGTGAACCAGAGTAGTGACTTATTTCGAATACCATAATGTGAACGTTTTTTTAACTGAATAATATGGTTAACGGTATCAAATGCTTTTGAAAGATCCAGAAAAATACCTACAGTGTTTTCTTTTACTTTGTATATTTCAGTCAAAAATTGGACAAGTGCCATGTACGTAGAGTGTTGCTTCCTAAAACCATACTGGTGTGCATATAGAATATAATTTGTTTTCCAAATGTTGAATTAATCTCATGTAAACAAGTTTTTTCAAGAACTTTGCACAGGGCTGGTAACAATGAAATTAGTCTATAATTGTTAAAAATAGCACGGTCATCTTCTTTATAAACTGGTGTAATTTTAGCTATTTTTAACTCTGCAGGCACAACTCCTTGGTCTAGAGAAATATTAAAAATATAGATGTCATTCAACATTTCAGCTTAGAAAATGAGAAAGAGTATGAATTCAGTATTTGAGTAACATTTATTACACACAAGGAAAAGCTCTACATATGAAGCCACAATTGTCCCATTTAGCGGTTTCCACAAACCCAAGGTGAGTCCTCCCTCCATTTGCGACAGGTATACTTTATGCAGTACACAAAACGCTCAGTGCTGTGGTTCCTGTTGCAGAGATTGCGCACCTGGCCTGCGTACAGTATAATAACAATGAAAAAATCTCAAAAAATAGAGTTTAGCACATATTGCGAAAATTATAGTTGTAGTGTGAATTGAAAGATGTTATCTATGTGTGCTACAAGTTTGGTAACACTACAATGATCTATAGTGTAATTATTGGCTATTATAGGCTTATAGCAATGGAAAAAATCTCCAAAAATACACTTTGGCACATATTGATCAAGAGTGTAATTATGGTTATCATATGCTTATAATAACAATGTAAAACTCTCAAAAGATAGAGTTTAGCACATATTCCCAAAGTAAGAATTGTAGTATGAACTAGATTAGGTTATCTATGTGTGCTATAAGTTTGGTTGTGCTGCAATGATCTATAGTGTAATTATGGCCATTATATGCTTATAATAACAATTTAAATCCCTCAAAACAATAGAGTTTAGCACATTTTCCCAAAATAAGATATGTAATATGAACTAGATGAGGTTATCTATGTGTGCTACAAGTTTGGTGGCACTACAATGATCTAAAGTGTAATTATTGGCTATTATATGCTTATAATAACAAAGAAAAAAATCTCCAAAAATACAGTTTGGCCTATCTTCTTCACAAAGTAAGAGTTGTAGTATGATCCAGATGTGGTTATCTATGTATCCTACAAGTTTGGTGGCACTACAATGATCTATAGTGTAGTCATTGCTCATTTTATACTTATTTGAATAATAAAATAGAGGTGCCATTTGTCATTTAGGCTTTGGGAAATTCCTCAAATAGTATTATTTTCGAATCCAATAAATGTGGTATGAATGACATGATGCACTTAAAATGAATTTGATAATAATCCACCTCTTCTTGGTGACGCTTTTGAATATTTCTCTCTGATTAGTTTTATGGTGTTGCAACTTGCAGAGGGTCCCTAAGCATTATCGGAGGAGCAAGCTCTGCATAGGGTCCAATGTAATTCTCCCAGCGCGATAGGAGACTTGTTTTGAGGAAACTACGGTTATAGCTCACTGTCTGCCTTGCTGTGGTTGCGGAGAGGTGTCTGTTTTTTTAGAATAAATCATCCACCCACGAGTTATTAATTATTAAAGCCAAATCTATGAATATATTGCAAAACTTACCGCAGTCTCACAATGCTGTCTCTCAAGCTTGAGTTATATTGGCCCTCTAGTAATAAGGGCAGATTATTGTATAAATATTTTTGCTTTGCCTTTCTACAGCGTTCCAGCTCATGCAGCTATTTTCATTGTATAGATCAGTTATGATCTGATCGCTGCTCTGTTGGCTCCGCCTTTTGAAAGCAAGTTTTGGCGACACTGATGATGTGAGTTGTGAAATACTGTTGAGGGGACTGGAGGCTGATGAAAATTGTCATATGTCTGGACTTTCTATTGATAGGCCTATTATCATTTACAGGGTGTTTTTTTAACATAGTTTTTCATCTATTTTTGCCATTTTTAATTTTAGCAGTATTGTTCGTTTCATACCCATGTTATCCTGCTAAAAAACTGCTTTGTGTGTCCAACTGTCACAGGTGCTAGGCGACAGAGCTAATCTAAGTGAGGGGCAGTAACAGCTGGAAAAACTAGACCTGTTTGAATCTACAGCCAAACTCTTTCGGCCTTCTTTTCACAGCCCCCGAAGGACCCAGTCCGGGGGAACCAGGTCGGCTGAAATTAGACACACCCATGGTAAGATCTCATGAGGCAAAAACAGCAACAGAAGACAGCTAATGCACTGACATTGGACTATTTTTACAATATATAATCTGACAAAGGCTGATCAGAAGAAACTGATGCAGAAAACATATTAAGGATGGCACACAAAAGCTTTATTCGTGTTTAGAGCTCTGAACACTCAGTTTCAAATCAAATCTATAAGTTTTGCAATCTCAGCTCCATGATGTGAGAGTAAACATATTATGTGACCCATGACTTTTCTGACATAAAGGGTCAAAGTTATAAATAATGGCTAGTCTGTGTTGGAAGCTTTTTAACAATACATGACAGGAAAGTGTTTATATGATTTCAATAAAAGTATGCACCACAAATTCACCAAAGCTTCTGCAGAGTTATGAGTTTAATATAAGGTCATCATTTGCCTTATTTTGTCTGTACACTGGCCCATATGAAAGTATGAACAAGTAAAGAGTGTAGTACATGGTATTCATATAATAGGAAATTGAATTAAAGGTATCAGCATAAAGGATAATGCAAAGTACAGTTATCAGAAGGTCATAAATATTCTTGATGGGGCCAACTGACCTGGACCCTTGTTCAAATTAGAAGTTTTCCTTTTTTGAGAAAAAGAAAGAGTTATTTTTTTTATAAAAAAAAACAAGAACCAAGGATGTTATTATTAATCCTACACCGATTTTCAGGAAACTTCTTCTCCAGCTAATTTCGCTGTTGTAATGCAACACCTTTAGAATTTTGTTAATCTCAGCTGCATGATGTGAGCGTAAACATGGTATGTGACCCCTGACTTTTCTGACATAAAGGGTCAAAGTTATTAATAATAATGGCTAGTTTGTGTTCGAAGCATTTTGACAATACATGACAGGAAAGTGTTTATATGAATTCAGTAAAAGTATGCACCACAAATTCACCAAAGCTTGCAGAGTTATGAGTTTAATATAAGGTCATCATCTGCCTTATTAACAAATAAATAAAATATGTTGCTATTAATCCTCCACCAATTTTAAGGAACCTTCTTCTCCAGCTATTTTCGCTGTTGTAATGCAACACCTTTATAATTTTGTTCACCGCCATCTTGTTTTCTGTACATGGCAGTAACCCTGGCATGGTCTCATGGAATAGGACGTGAACACTCAAGATCACATTTGGAAACCTTTTTGACCAGTCCATCCCAGCTGTGGAGTAGCTTTCGTCTCGGGTGTGGTGCATCATAACCAGAATAACTTTTTGATTTTGTGCTGTAACAAGAAAAAGAAAAAGATTAATTAGGGGAATTTTTGGAATTCAAACTACAACCATCCTATCTACATTGATTACGTACTTAAAGCTGAGTGGTTAGTGAATCATCTATTAAAGCAGCTTATTCAAATCTAAAAACAAAAAACTATAGCAACATCACTTATACTCCATTACCAACTAAAAAGCAAATAGAAACCATGAAATATAACATTTATTTTGAAAATATTAGTACACTTTAAATGTACATTAATAATATCGATACACAGTAAGTATCGATATTACACATATAGTACTATACACATATAGTGTATAGTACTATATGTACTATACTATACACATATAGTAAGCCTGTTTTAAAATAAGGCACAGCCATTTACATTTACTTCCATTTCCGACAATAGAGTTAAGCTCAATGCTGTAATAATTTGCTGCACAAAATAAATGTAAATAATACTCTAACACTTATTATACATGTAGTGGTCTATATACTCTCTCTATATATTTTAGCATTTTTAGTATATAATATGAATTTATAGCTGTTCCAATGATACCGCTTAACTTGAATATTCTTGAAATTATTTTGAATTTACTTAGAAATTATTTTCTAATTTTGCATTTTTTCTTTTTGTAAAGGTTTTGTAGACCTTTTATGATCTTAGAATGATCTTTATAGTTACTTTCCTATTCATTTTTTCAGAAGGTAGGTTTTCATCAAATAATATTATTAATATCCTTGCATATTAAGCTTACACCATCTTTGTAATTTATATTGGCTATAATATAATTTTTATTGATTGTCCTGGTTTTGGTTCTGTTCAGTTTTCTTTGTGTATTCAGCTTTCACTTTGATCCATGTTTTTCTAGTTTTATTGGTTTAATTCCTATTTAGTTGTGTTTTCTGGATATATTTTAGTTCTTAGGTTTTTCTTGCTTTTCCTCTGTTGCCATCTTGTGTCATTCTCCTTTCCCCTAGCTCCTTCTAGAAGCCTCTGTTTACACCTGCTCCCAATGAGCTAATTAGTCCTGTCTTTGTTCAGTCTCGCATAAGTACTCTCCCTATGCAGTTCCTCTGTGCTGGTTCCTCTTCTTTTCCCGGCTCTTCATGCATGTTGTTCCCTGATGTCTCCAAGGTTCTGTTTTTATGTATTTATTATGTTGGATTTCTGGATTCCTGCCTCAGTTGCCTGTGAGTACTCCATTAAACTACAATAACTCACCTCTGCCTCCTCGCGTCTGCATTTGGGTCCTCAAAACCTCAACCAAACCCTGACATCAATATTAGGTTACATTCATTATGTTTTGTGTTACTTGCTCATTTTTAAATGCATTTAAGAAGTTTTACATCCTTATCATACAAAAACGGGCAAATCTTCCCTGAAGAGTAATTAAGCAATTGCATTGTTTTTTAATTTCATTTAAAAATATTAAAATAAATAACAGTAGCAAGGTGTGAAGTTTTTATAGGTTTTTTTTGGAGCTGAAATTGAGCTGTTGCCTTCTTTGACAAGGCCTACTTCTAAGTAAGGCCTAATGAAGTAAGCCAATAGAGTTAAAATTAAAAATATTTTTTACTTTGGTTAAATGAATGCCTCAATAAATCCATACTAGCACTTGTACCTGTCACCAGACTCATAGCTGCTTCTACATCTGACCCAACACGAGAGATGATAGGACAAAAAACAATGATGATGCAGCTTTCCGGGTAGTGTATAATATTCAGCTGTATCCTCTTCTTCAGTTCCCTCAGCAGTTCTTCATCAGCGCCAAATGTCTCCCCTGAAGTGATTGTGTAGACGTTCACTAAATTAAATACCAAAACACATGAGAGGAGAATTATGAGCAGAGCTGAAACATGAATAACAGCATCTTTTTATCAATGACGCTCACCTGCGGATTTCTGGACCATTTTTAAGTCTGAGGGAAGCAAAGCAGTATAATTATTATTATTTTTTTTATAATACAACTTTTCTGCAACTAAAACTGCAAAATCATCCAAATAAAGCACAGATGGTTTACCTAATATGAGGTTATTGTTTAAGTTTGATCAGAGGGCGGCAAATGCTTATATAATGTATTTGATTTGTTTTAAAATAGGTTACTTTCAAACATCTTTATCCTTAAGTCAGAGTTCACCTGTCCTTTCATACTAATAGCAGATTGCACTTACAAGCCCTAAAACAATAAAACATAATAAAGCATTGTTCAGTTTCCACTCCTAGAATGTCACCATAATAAAATGAAATGGAACATCAAAGAATCAGCTTTACTGACTAATCTAGCATGCACAAACAAGAAATTTGACTTTGGTACCCCCATAGAATTAAAAATAAGCAGAAAATCCTAGTCCCTAGAGGACTTGATCTAATTGATGATCAAATCAAAGGAAATTAAAAAAGGAATTTGTAAAAAAAAAAAAAAAAAAAAAAAAAAAAAAAAAAAAAAAAAAAAAAAAAGGTTTCACTGTTACTTTGAGAAAGAACAAAATGTGAGGATTCCTACCTTTGCTGGCAATGTGATGATCTGGAGAAAAAACAAACCAAACAGGGAATATGTTGCAGCTCAGGCACCTCAAACTCACTCTGAAGGTATAAGAGACTGTTTCTATTTTTGCTTGAACCATTCGCTCTTAAAGAGCTGAAGCACTTTCACTTTCAGTCTTAGTAAGCAAGACACCATGTGATTTATCCTAAACTCCATCTAAAGTGCAATGGTTTTATCAAGGGAAGTCTTTCTTTCAGTTTAGGAAGAACATGTGTAACATATGAAAATATGAATTAATAGCACTGATGGTAAAAGCATTTACATTACAGAATATTTGTTGAAGTTACTGCATCTCCAACAACTGAAGCTGAAAATCAAAGCGTTTGTTTTCTGCAGCAGTGCATCAGGGGACTCAAAGATGCAAGACTTAGGAGAATTTTAAGTTTTGATATGGGGTCAGATGTTATCTGTG